ATTTCGAAGGTATTAACGAGACGATTATAATGGTGTAACTTGTAAAAATAAAAATGTATTTTTTAAACATGTTTTAATTGATATACGATTATGTATGTTAATTTGATATAAATTGAAACATTTAAAAGTAAAAAACGTAAAGTAAATTAATTAACTAATTATAGGGGTATAAAATGTAAATTTAAAATTATAATTTTTAAAAAAATCGTGAGAGGGTGAGTGTATGTAAGGGGGTGAGTGTATGTGAGGAGATGAGGGGGTGAAAAATTGAAAAAGTGACATAAGGGTATAAAGGGTATCTTGGTCATTTAGTATTTTAAGACTTTAAGATTTTTGCTAAATTTGCTTAATAAGATAATATAGATAAGGGTCGCATAATCAGGAGTTAGGTATTTTGTAATAAGGGTGGCAAAATCAAGAGCTGGGTATACTAAGATAAGGGTGACATAATCAATTTCAAAAAATGATGATTTTTTGATAATGGGTTATTGTTATCACATCTTTATGATGCAATGAGGTTAATTTTTATGACATATGTTTAATGCGATGAATTTGAGATGGATGAAATGAGTTGTTTTTATTGCATCCTTATGGTACGAGAAGTGATGTTTATCATTTCAGTGTAATGTGACAAAATGATGTTATCACATCCTCATGGTGCAACAAGTGAGTTTATCGCATCTGTTAGATGCGATGAGTTGGGGTTATCGCATCTATTGGATACGACAAGTTGAGGTGATCGCATTTGTTGGATGCAAAAAAATATGTTATTGCATCAATAAGATGCGACAATTGGGCGTGTTATGTGTTGGTGCGACAAATTTGATATCTCATTGGGTTTGATGCGATAAAATGAGGTTGTCTCATCTTTATGATGCGACAAAAGGAAGGTTTGTTGAAATAAATCTTATTTTTTGATATCTTTGATGATGGGCTTTTCAAAAAGTATTTTAGTGATTTTCATTCTGTAATAAAAATCAAAGGGAATTATTCACTAGACCTTATGGTCTAATCCTCATTTTGTTTTAAAAAATGTGCATTACAGGTCGGACACATGTGGAAGGTAAATAGAAGAGAAAAATGTGAAGGAATTGTTAATGGTTACATCTTTGGATTCTTGGGAAGCTGAATAAATACATGATATGTGAATTTGTGTTATTCAAGTCATGTAATTATATGAATAAAAAGTTTGTAGCTATTTTTGTATGTAGCCATTTGTGTATATCTGGGACCAATGTGTATATTTGTATTTCATTTTATATGAAATATGTGGATTTTATGCAAATTTATCGTTTTTAACTGTTGTTATTGTTTATCCAACTAGTTTTCAATATTTGTATATTATTTAGATGGTTAATTTAAATGTTCATCTTAATTCATATATTTAGATGCATATCCAATTAGTTTGCAGTAGTTTACCATATCAATTACTTATTATTTATTTATATTAGTATTTAAATGTTCTTCTTAATTATAATTCATAATCTTAATTATATTTTAGAAGTTACACTTCTAGCTCTCATAACTTTTGAAAATGAAAATGTTTATCTTAATTATGAGTTCATACTCATTATTTTCAAGCTTAATTAATTTTTGAAAGTTATACTTCCAACCCCCATATTTGGTTTTTTTTTTTTTTTTTTTTTTGTCAAAAGTGCTCAAAATACTATGAAGATTGTAAAAGTTTAAATTTCACTTTATATCAAAACCAATAATTATTTGGCCTCTGGCAAAATCTCTCAAAATACCATTAACATATTAAAAATTGTAGTTGGCTTTATATACCAAACTCATATTCCTTTTGGCCTCTTGGCAAAAGCTCCAAAAATGTCATTATGTTATTAAAATATCAGCATTTGATCTCATCTCTTGGTCTCATGCCAAAATCATTAATATTATCTATGTATTTTATAAATGATTAATCACAAGATATCGAAAGGATTTTGTCAGACGGTTGTAAATAGCCCTAAGGTTTGTAGGAACTTAAGTAATTCATGTGATTCTCCTTTTACGTGGATGTCCAATAGATTTAGTGATTTATTTTCTAAAATTGAAATACTAATAAAGTATTATCAACAAAAATCTACAAATGCAAAAATCAAGTATTGTTATGATAATGAAATTTCATGCATAAAATAATGATTATGAACCATAATTCATTATCTATACTACCTTATAAAGCAAATTTATCAAGAGTCTTAAAAACAAATTTTAATGTAGGAAATACTATACATTTATGCACAAAGTTTTAAAGTCTTAAAAACAACTCATAATGCATTAAGTATTACTACTTTATGCATATTATTACATTTTCTTTTCATGTTCCCAAGATACTTTTGACACCTTTCAATCATGTCTTCACCCTCTCATACCTCTATGTCTTCTCCTC